AGATGACGGAGGGAACGAAGAGCGTTGGGAAAAAGACCACCCGGAAGAAGTGGGAGCGGCGAGGAAGACATGCTCGGCAGGCAATGCAGTGGCTGTTGCGCGTGCTATGTCGAGGTATCCCGCGAAAGTAAGGACTGGCGACATCGCAGATCCAGACTGCCGCACCGGCACTCCGACGATGTTGGCTGGAACGACTCCAAACTGTCAAACCTCTTCATCGAAAACAGAATCTCCAAAGACAAGGCGTGTCCAATTTGCGTCCGACACGAAGTTCCAAAACGCTCGGCCCCGTAAAACTTACCTGCGCAGCGCGAAGGCATACGTACCGGGGAAACACGCAGCACCCTCGTCGAGCACCCTGGTCAATACTTCAAACATGCTCAACGACCGCTATAACGTTCGGCAGCTCAAGATCATCAGGGAGTTTGATTGCCCCTGGAATATCGAGCTCATCGACGCCATCGCTTTGTCCAATCATGAGGGTATTGCAGAACTGCATCCTCGGTGGCCCGAGATCGGGGATAAGATATCGCGTATACACGATGGAAAAGACGAGGTGCCGAACGAGACTTTTATGAAAAGTCTGAGCACTGCGGATTACTTACTCGTGAAGACTAATGAGAAAGATCAGGTTACGCATGTTATCCCGTATACAACGAGAGATATTGAGAATCTTCCAGGAGATGATGCGGAAGAGGTTCGGATGATGGAGACTAAAGGCTGGACGTCGCATATAGAGATCATGTCGAAGGAATGTCGTGATGGGATCTGGAGTACATACGAATGCGCAGGGGGTGCGACTAGGACAGAAAGTAATGGGCGGAACTAGGAAGATGGCGAGGACGTTGCGACCTCAGGCCCGAGAGATCGAACGCCAGTACTGTATGCAAAGAAACCTGGGCCCTAGGAGGTCTTACTAAGCCAGCTGTAACGAGAGGATATGTGGATGGCTACGGTGTGACGCGCATTGATCTGAGCAAAGACCGGTTGGGTATGACGTAGACGTAGCGCTCTCAGCTGCTGATGCATTCATCCTACAATGCATTGTTAGTGCCCTGACTTTTCTTGAATGATTCATCGCAATGACCCAAACACTCGTGACTCCGCACTGTGCAAACACCCTGTTCTCAGTAGATCTTCCACTTGCCATTCGCCATTGCGCATTCACTTCCAGAGCAGTCTACCGAAACAAACTCGAGAACAAGCACGGGCTTTCTGGCAATGTCTTACAATCCTCTACTACTTACTCATTGACGTCGGCGCAACCTTCCACATCATGCCCTCTTCCATAGCCGAGTACGTCCCCGCAGCCATTCTCTTCTCGCCTGAAGATGTGCAGCACTTCACCAAGTGGCAGGAAGAGCACGGCGTGGGATCACTGCCTGGGATTGTTCAAGATGCCACAGAGTATTGCGAGTTTCTTGCACATCGGCGCACCGACGAAGAAAGCATCAAGCTCAAGCGCGGCAAGGTACGCTCGCGAAATCGAAATCCTGCGACCATGTGCGGACATGGGTTGCATCCTTCGGACATCATCACGGGCGGATATTGCCCAGTCTGCGAAGTAGAGATGTGTCTCCAGTTCCTCGATGCGCTTGGCAAGGTATTCCAGAGATGTGGCGGCCCTTGGCAGCAAGCGCGCGTTCGCAATGAGTTCGCTCTAGTCAGACAGTGTTAGCACCTGGCGCGCTATCAATTAGTCGAGCTTCTGGAGCTTCTGGAGTGCTCGCAAAAGTATGAAGAAGCGTGGGAGAAACAGCACCCAAGCGACGTAGGGTGTATGTGGACGACCAATAGCTCTTCGAAAGCGATACGCATTGCCCAGATGCGAACGAGATACCCAGCTGTACTGACGGACGCTATTCCGAGGCCTGCAGTGAAGCGAGCGCTTTCGTCGTTTGACGCAGCGAGAGCGAAAGTCGCTAAGGCTCGAGTGAAGAAACACGTCACTTTCACACCAGACACCATTACCTGGCCCACCCGCAGCAACGCCTGCTTTAACCGCAACCCGGCGCATCGCCAGAGTTACCAACCTGGTAGGCATGCTGCTTCACTTGGCTTAGAGTGGATTGACACATCGCGAATGTCCTCTTCTATAGCAGATCTTCTGAACCTGAAGGTATATGCAACCTGTATACAGGCTGAGTTCGACGCATTGGTCGACGACTCGTCTCTCAGACCACCTAGTCGTTATCAGGGTATACTATCCCTCCACCCCGGTATACAAGCGATTTCAGCATTTGCCAACCAGTTCTTGCAAGGGGCAGAAACGGCGCGAGAGGAGATGCTCGAGATGATCAGCGTGGCCGATGCACTGATAGTGCTTATTGGCGAAGACGATGTGGTGTTGGACATGCATCTTTCTGTTTCGGACGATGTAGAGGATGAGGAGGGTTATGGCGACGAAGAGGTTGATCAGACAAGGTGGACCTGCTGGTCAGAGTGTGGCAATGAGGCAAAGCCTGACGTTGGTGGAGCAGCTGGTCTAGCTGCCAAATTCGCTGTTGACGACGAGAAGGCGCGAGAGTGTCGGAAGATAGATGGGTAGTATGCCTGCGAGGGACGCTGGGTTTGTAGAATGTTGACTAGTAACGTGTTGGATTGTCTAGACACGAAACTCGTACAGCGAGTGGCAATGGTGCCTAGGTAGAGATGAAGTTGGCGCCACGTGCCGCAAGACGCGTCAGTTTCGCGCGCGGGGCGATGCAGGCTGCTCTGCCCCACCGCATTTGCATCTTCTTTGTTCACCCTGTCTGTGCCACTGCTCAATGAAAGGTTCTATGTTCAAAGGATCTGTAACCCCGCGCGTGAACTGAGATGTCCATTCAAGCCGCGAGGGCTCCAGGCAGGCGTCAGGCCCCCAGTGCAGCGATGCGCGCTGGACGGCGGGCCGGCTACGCATGCCACGGCGCCGTTCCACCACTCCCCAAGGAGCGAGGCATCTCGTCGCAGCCTTGCGCTAGGCTTGTACAGCTCTAGCAATCCGCCCAGATGCTCTGCTCGTCGCGATATAAAGCATGGCATGCGACGCGTCCGTTGAGAGCCATCCCATCTCAACACCAGCATGGCTCTCATTACGCTGCCACCGGAGCTCAAGCTAAACATAGCCGACAACTTGGACCCGGACTCGACTCTCAATTTTGCCCTTACCTGCAAAGACCATGCGACACTACTCAAATCCTTGTTGAGACAGCATGCACGACTACTTGCGAAATGGAAGGTCATCGACACGACCGATGCTCGCACGCTTCTTTGGGAGACTTTGAGAGACGTAATAGCAAACCCTCGACTAGGGTGGTACATCAGGGAACTCAATCTTCCAGAAAGCCGGCAATACAATTGGAATGCGAATGAGAGTTTGCGTAATTCCCACCCAAAGCATGGCGTTGTGCCATCCGAAGAAGACAAGGCCTTGTTCATTGAGGCAGCAAGGGGGCTGCAAGATCTGTACCCGGGGTTTGGCGTAGATGAATCGAATCTGCTGAGACGATACTCTCATGCCTTCAACTTTTCACCTCGCCCGTACGACACGATTGGATCTATCGAAGATCGAATTCACGCAGGCTTCGAGGACGCCATTATCGCGATCCTTCTGCACCATCTACCTTATCTCACGACCATCAGACATTCAGAAGTCGGCATGGAGGACTGTCTGGAACTTGTTCTATGGCAGATCGCGTTAGGATACAAGAACCCGGTCATGGCACCAAAGCTTCCCCTAAAACATCTCAAGACGGTCGCCGTGCGTTACGCTCTGGACGAAGGAAGCAGCTCTCCTGATTGGGCGTGTTTTTATCTCAGTATCCCTTCGGTAAAGACGTTTGTAGGGCAAGCAATGGGTGGTTCGCCTAGCGAGGACGTCCTACGCACTTTATTCCCCACAGGTGCTGCTCCGTGCTCTAACGTGGAAGAGCTGTTCTTTAGACATTCTGTCTTCGATGTGGATGGCCTAGCAACCATACTCGCGAACATTCGGCATCTAAAGAAGCTAACGTACAACGGTGGTGATGCTCTGGTGTCCGATTCGAGCTGGTACGAATCAAAAAAAATCATTCGAGCAGTTGCTACACACGCCGGCCGCTCGTTGGAGGAGCTCATGCTCAGCGAGGAGGACACAGATGTAAGTGACTAACCTCTGTCAGTGTTCCAGACTAATTTCATTTGATAGAGTGAGCCTCCCGAGGATGGCCCAGCGATTGTTTCTCTCCGAAATTTCCAGAAGCTCCGTGTACTGCACTGTTCGTGGCGCATGCTTCGCCCCGACATGGCAAAAGAGGAAGATCCTGAAGACGAGGAGCCGCTAGAACAAGGCTATTACCGAAAGGAGGACTACGAACAAATTGATGTCGACTTCGACGTAAGGACCCTTCTCCCAGAGTCTTTAGAAGAGCTTTTCATGAACGGCGGTTTCGACGATCATGATGAATGGGAGCACATGGAAAATACAGTCAAGGCCTCAAGCGCCTTTACGCCACACCTGACTATGGAAAAGACCTGTATTAAGAGAGGAGGTTATTGGAGTGATCGAGTCGGTACCGCAGAGGAACCGGATGGAGCCTGGTCTCATCCGCTCGGCCGCCTTTTCGAAGGTCATCATGGTTAAACTCGACAAACTATATGTCTCATCTCATTCTCGATTGTAACATGGACACCAAATTTCGGGTCTGTGCGCGCTTGTTAGGCACACGAGAATTGCTATAGCAGTGCGCACGGCTTCTCATCGTTCATCGTAGCGGGTCCTCTTCTCCCAATGACGCACTGGAAGAATTGACCATACGCCAAGAACAATGACGAGAACTAGAGGACTGCTGGAGCCTGGACACCCCTTTCGTATGTGTATATAAACGCGCGCTCTCCGCAGCTTTACAAAAGATCTTATACCACACCTCTACCGAGCACACTTCTACAGCGCGCGCTTCTCCTGATACCTGTACTGTCAGTTATCGGCGAATATCCAGTGCACGACACCAGCACCTAATCCCATCAAAGACAATACCGCAATGGCTCCCAGAACAGTCTATACGTTTGGAGGCCGCTACAAAAGCATTGCTGCTGTCGAAGATGCGCCATTCGCGGAGTTCATCTCTGTGAGAGAAACTGGCCTCAAACTCAACGTCGTCCACCCGGTCCCTGTTGCGTATCTGCGCGATCTGAACTCTCGTGAACGCGATGCGGTCCACAAGCACATCACTTCTCAGCTATTCAGCAACAGCTACAAAGACGTCGGATTTATTGAAGCTGCAGAAGAGACCTTGGGTCTATTGGAGACAGTCCAACAGGATATGGACTGTGATCGCTCGACCACTGCGGACCTAACGACCACGGATGCGACCAGCAACCGAACATACCACACGGCAAGAGAGTACAAAGAGAGCCGCAGCTCCAATCGCTCGATGGACCACTGGGACGGTGAATCTCATAATACGCGTGGCGTACAACCGGAATCCTCTAAGCGTCCTCGCGATATAGATGCCTGGAAGAGAGAAGTCCCGCGTGGCCACGCTCCGCCATCGGTTAGCCAACCAAGCTCATGTCTGCAATCCAGAAGTTCATCAAGCTCCAGCAGGATGCGAAAGCCGAGCAGGCACACCGACTTCCTCAAGGACGCAAAGCTCGACGAGAAGACACGCGTTTTAGTCGTGGAGCACAGCGCTGCAAGCCGCGAACTGGCGCTTCAGGAAGAGCATCTTGCCAGTCTCGAGTCGCTTGCTTTGACCGTCACCAGCTCAGCTGCGCGGCGCGATCTATACGGCGCCATTCGGAAAGCTCGCAGTGCAGTCGAGAAGGTGCGCGTGCTCGAACGCAAGTGCAAGGGCGCCTTATCTGACTCCCGCGCGCTCGTAGTGGATGCTCTGGAGCTCGCTGATGATCTTTGGGAGACGTCAGAAGCGGATGCGGAAGAAGCATCAACAGTTTGTTCGCCGACAACGGTTTCTTCACGGACAACCGGTTCTTCGCGGACAACCGGTTCTTCCCCGACACAGCGGAGCACATCTACTGCGCCATCGGAACAGAACTCTTTGGTGCCGGCCCGCTTTCCCTCTGCCTCGGAAGTAGTTTCACTGAAGCACGAACTGCAAGAGATCGACGACAGTCTTTCCGAGTCGATGAGGACTTTAAACCAGGTCATCACTCAATCACGTTACCGAGAGGACGTGATCGAAAGCATAGACCGCGCGCGGGCATGCCTCGACAAAGTTCACATCAGAGGAGAGCGCTATTCGGGCTTGGACTACGAAAAGATACGCAAATTCGGATTTGCAACGCTTGCCATTGCGCGGACAAGGCACGAGAAAGCTATGCGCGTTCTCGATGCAGCCAAACGGGAGGAACGTCGACCAGACGGCCCAAATCAAGCAAACGGTAGTGGAAGAGCGCGCGAAACCAAGCGCGAAGAGCCTTTGCGAGTGGAAGAAGAGTTCGATCGGACTGTCTATCATTTCTCGCAATTTGAGTCAATGGACTCTGGGGAGCTTCTGCGTCAGCAACAAGAGGTTCTTCAACAGGTTGCTAACTACCGTGCCGCTGAGGCGTACAACAGACGCCGTCAAATGGGTCATAGCTTGTATGACCAATTTCTGCAGGCAGGTGCACCTGATGTTTACGGGGAGTCAAGTTCGTCGTCGTCGGATTTGCCGCCACCTCCGTTCCTGGATATGAGTCAGTTCTGGGACGCTTGGGAATAACAATCTTCACTTGGCGCACACGTAAGTAGCAAGCATAGTAAATAGAGAAAACATGTCTATCCTGTATCGGCTTTTCGCTCTATCACTTAAAAAAACAGTGGGGTATTGACTTCCAAAATCAACAACAATTGTGAAGTGGCTGGTGTCGACTGGCAGATTATGCGATAAGGTCGCCGAAGGCGACAAAAACTCGGTTCTTGACAAACCTCGGGACCGTTGGGTCGCGACCACGGTGAAGGTGGCTGCAACGGGTTACTTGAGAGACTGGACAGCTCACACACGTTCGATCTTTTCACTAACTGTACTCAATTCCCTACTACTGCCTTTATCTGCAGCCACTGAAGAGAGGTGAAAGCTCTCAGTTGTGGCGTTACTCGATCTGCTGATGGCTATGCGACCACGTTCGGCCATAGCTATATAAGTGCGCATACTCCACAGCAATCGGCGATTGGTCTACTCCTACTTCAACCCTGGTAAAACTTACAGCTTTGAACAATATCTACAAGCTGCGAACGAGTTACGCCAGTGTTATCGTCGCCATCAACCCATCTGAAACGCACCTTCCACACGAGTCCCAAGGGCAGATTCTCTTCTCAGGCTACTTGCAGGTCTACAGGCCCAACCTGTCCGACAACAACAAGATGGCTTCTCACAACCGCACACTTCACACCATTTACGGGCAATACCGTACTGCAGCGGCTGTCAGCAGAGCAGCTAATGCCGATTACATCCCGTTGGACGGCGATCGAAACATCAATGCCGTACACCCAATTCCAATTGACTGGCTTGACGAAGAGCTATTGCCGAACGAGCGCGATCAAGTCCGGGCACATATTGCGTCTCTACTAAGTAGTCAGCGTCGCCAAATTCCCAGTTTCGTCGAGGCTTTACAGGGTACCATGGAGAATCTGAACACCATCAGAAATAGGGGTACAGCTAGTCGCCGCATTCCTGCGCGCCGATCTGGAGGCGAGGAAATCGATCGTCTGGCGAACGACTTCGACACTTTGACCATGGGACAAGCGCATGGTATCAACTCACCGTCACGTAACGTGCAGTTTGCAGAGACGGTTCGGACAGATCGTGTTTCCCGAGACCCCACGATCCCTGGCCCTTATAGTCCACAGCCGTCCTCGCCGACTCCTCGAAGCATTATGCGCTCGCCCGGACATTCTCGTGCGAACTCAGCCGAAGCGATTTTGAGCCATGGAGCGTTGCCTCCACGCGATGCTCGAGTGCCCTCGCCCACCGACAGCTACAGTGAAGAACTTGCTGCATTGGATGTACAACTCGACGAGATCTACGCGGCTCTCAACAACCAATCTCGCATTGAAGACCATGAGTTATCGGAGCAGCGGTTCGATAGCCTTGCGCAAGCTCGCTCCATGATTCGTCGCCTGAGAGGATTACGTCGTCTCAATCAAATGGACATTGACACGGCTCGCGCTGCTGTACAATCAGTGATGACAAGCACTGGACAACATGACACCGCTGCTGCCAGGAACGCTGGGAGTAGATCGGGACACATGGGTCGTGAGCCGTTTCATGGTACCCGTGGGACGCGGAGACCGCGTCCGGTAAGTGGAAGCTTCAGCAGCATAGGAGAGCGGCTACGCCTAGCGACTGTACAGCATAACCAGCGTCTGTTCGCTCATACCAACGGCATGTTTCCAGTTTGGAGTTCACCTCCCGTTGACCCTCAATATGGAGACGGCATTCAACGGCCTGACGGTACTATATATTGCTGTGGGCCTAGGGGCGGATGGCTGATGTACCATGGCCGTGATGAGGCTTCTTTTTGTGAGTAGGCATGTGATCATGCTTTGTCTTAAGGTAGTGATTCTGTACCTGGGTAACGTCCAGACCACAAAGGTCGGCTTAGGGGGTGCGCATCCATAGGGGGACCAAGATAGAGGCAGAATGGGAACTTTCAATCATTCGAATGTACTGCATCAATGTGCTTGTTGGTTATCGAGGCGCGCACACGCGGCAGGGACGAGAGCGACGGACTAATCACCTGGGCCGTATTTAAACATTCGGTTGGCGCTAGCTGCTCCGAGGTCCTTCCGGCGATGGGCTGACCTGAAGCACTGCACGCTTGCCATCACCACACAATATACACAATGCGCGTCATTACACATCCCTAGTCTCAATGACCAGCCCCGACGAGGATCAACCGCAGTTCGCGTTAAACGCGCACTCCACTCATTCTTACTTTCCTAATTACATGGCACATGGTACCTCGCTCCCTTTGTCATTTGCAGCTCCGCGCCTCATTCACCAAGTTCCGCTTCAATAACACTCTCAGCAACCCCGGGGTAATTATAGATCGCTAGAAACCTCAGACCAGCCTTTTCGATTATCGCTCTCCACTCCGCTTCCGTTCTCTCGCGCACCGAAAGATGTGCTAACATCATCATATCCATGGAGGTGGCGGCGATGGTGGGCTTTTCTTCTGAAAGCACAATCTCGTTCAGCAGCACCCGCGAGTAGCCGGGCTTCAGCGCTGGCTTCAGGCTTTCGAGAATCCTGACGCCCTCTTCGTCATTCCAATCGTGGAGAATCGAGTGCAGTGAGTACGCCCTGGCTGACTGAATGGGCTGAGGCGTATAGAAGTCATGGACCTGACTCTCAAAGGAAAGCCCTTCCTTATCCTTGATAGCCGCGATGACCGGCTCTTGATCCTGAAGAACAACCTTGCCCGGATGAGAAGGGTGCTGAGTCACGAACTGCTGGACGTCGTGACCACGACCCCCGCCGACATCGACCAGAAGGGCCTCGCTGCAGCTGGGATCAAAGCCATCAATCAACCGTTCCGCGACCGGGTAGAAGCTGGGGTCGAACCAATTCGCCTTGCCCGCGCGATACACCGACATGAAGTTGTCGAACTCGTCGAGATGAGGAGGCGTTGCGACCAACCATGGGAAAAAAGATAAATCTGTTCCATGCGCATCCTGCAATGGTCCTTCTGTAGGCGACGTGGGTAGCCTGTAACCACTCGTCTTGAAATAATCCGGGAAGCCATTGAACGACGGTCGTGACACGTCATAGCAGAAGTCAATGCTCTTCTGATAGTTGTCCGCTGCGAGTTCATGGCTCAGACGGGTACCGAGGAATCTACCGTTCGAGAAAGAAACGATCTTCATAGCGATTAGGTGACGCATGATCCGTTGCAATAGAATGGGGTCAACGCTCGTCTTTTGAGCAAGGTCGCCCGGACTAACTCCGGCCTCGCCTGCATCTCTAAGATGCTGGAAGAGTTTGACTTCAACAGCAAACTTGCAGTGCGCTGACAATGCCGGCTGCAGACTCATCAGTATGCTGGTAACAGTACAGGTTCAGTCACGAACCTCGGCCCAGAAGCTTCTCTGCAGGAATTCACTGGGTATCTCGAGTGCCGCAACCAGGTCTCGACCAAGCTCGATGAGACTTTCTCGCGAGCCGATTTGCTCGGCTTCGTAAGCTCTGCCGGCGGCCGCAACACGCTCGAGGATATCTGGTACAGGTATTGACATGTCTGGCGACGAGTGTTCGTTCTGCAATGTTTGTCAAAGGATAAAGAAGGAAGCGCGGGGCAGCCTTCTATTGCAATCCTTCGATCCTTTCGCACGATAGCCATCGTTCGGTGCGGCTCTTGCCTTCCTATTGCGCCATGCACCGAAGTACACATGACTCGTTTTCCCGCCCGATCGCTCAGCGCTTAGTCGTCTCCGCGATGTTTGGATCTTAGATCAGCTGCGTTGTGATACAAAGGCCTGATATCCGCAGTCTCTTTACCGTCTTTCGCTCGTCCGACCCAGTGGACCTCGGTAGTGTTCAACAACGCGAATCCCACACCCGCTGTGTTCGATCAATACATTTGGAACATCGCCTACCAAACGCTTGTCGCCTGCGTGCTTGTTACATTTGCCGGCATGACGTTTCCGGAGACAGGCATCCGTCCGTGCCGCCCCGCCTGTCGTTGGCCCACTTGGTCTGGCACTAGATCCTTCGCGGATGCATGAACAGACACTTCGAGCCGCACCTGTTGAACCATCAAGAGCCACGTTGACTTTACTAGTCACAAGGTCTAACTGAGTTAATTTTCAAGATTGGATATATTTCTCTTCTTAGAAGAGATAAACAGTCTACAAAGTAAAGCTATCTAGCTTAAGATATATGGTATGGAAGCAGAAAGACTCCTTTTGCTGCTTACGTTCGTTGGATGTCTCCTGCAAAGGGGTTGTATTGCGGCTGTCCTTTCAAGGTATCAGTTTCAGTGTGGCCTTTTAGAGGGTCGTCTCTCCCGTCGTCTTCCCATAACGAGTAGTTCAATCTACCGACGTCTGAGATCGGTGTCTGAGAGCCTACCGCAAGCAGTACATTAACGATCGTTCCATCGTACGAAGGACCGACGTGATCATAGACACGCCTCGCAAATTTCCATGGATTTGCGAGCTTCCCAACACTGATTCGGAGCGATGTTCCGCCTTCCTTGTCCTTCGAAGAGGGAGACATACCATGTTTCAAGGATAGTTTCACTGCAGATATGCCGGTCTTTTCGCAAGCCACATGTAGAACGGAAATCTCGGCACCATCCACCGAGCTTTTGTTAGCGGCAAGTTCATATCCTCTTTGAGAAGCTCCAGCACGCTGAAAAGTCGCAGACGACCACCCCGGAGAGGTTTTCAACTACTGTTCATACGCTGTTGATACTTACTGCACCAAGCTTGAAGAATACTAAACCCTTACGGATGTTACGCCAGCATACTGATGCGCAGTTGCCTTGCATCCTGCGGCCTACTTTACCTATCTCGAGCTCGAATGGAGTCTTGAAAAGAAACGGATCGCGGAGGCAAAGCGCGTAGGTCAGGATGTGTACGCAAGCTACGAAGTAGATGTAGCTGAATCAACACAGAAGGAGGACAATGAGGGTACTACTAATAGCGATACTGCGCTTGATCTTTTCTAGCAAGCTCGTAAGCGTGGTCATTGGCCCGCCGCAACTTCAGTGTCTACCA